TATGTTTATATACTAACTTCTAGTCCTTACAGAGCCTCTTAAACTCTTAGTTAAAACGCAGGTGCTTCCTAGTCTTCTTGCCCTCGCTCTAAACAATAGTCCTCTTCTTTACTATATAGGTGTTACTAGCTTTATAGCTATTATTAGTATACTTAATATAGCGCTAAGTGCAGGCACAGAAATAGGGGTACGTAGCAAGGAGTAGATCTAGCTATAAATAAGACGCTTTCTGCTTCTAACAGGGTTCGCACTTATTAGTAGACTCTATTAGGTAACTATAGAAACGTTAGTAAAATAAAAACAAGGTAAAGGAGGGCTAACACTTACTTAAGATAGCTGTATAGCCCTAGCTGATTTATATAGCTAATACAAGTACAGAAAGCCTCTTTAACGTAACTAAACTCCTTGTTATTACTATTACTAATAATAAGATAGTTACTAACCTTGTAACGCAGCTTCTTGCGCAGAGGTTCCTTAGACTACAGATATAAAATAGTAAGTAATAACGTAGAATAAGGAGCGCTGTAATAACATACTAGAGAACTACCTGTATAACTACAATCTCTACTAGGATTTAGAGAGTTACTGCCTTTATAACTACTAGAACTAGAAGTAGAGTTAAAGGACGATATTGCGTGAGACTAAGAAAAGCTAAGAAATAATAGGGTAGTAACAAGGCGGCAACAGTGCGAGGTTAGTAAAGATATAATAGGTAGATAAAAGGTTAAGTAGAGAAAAGAGGATAGAAGAAGCTAAGAGTTTGTGTAGTAGGGCCTCGCTAAGTAATAATACTAAGCTAACGCTGTAATAACACATAACTGTGCACAGACTAGAGCCTAAAGTAACTGCTAGACTATAACATTATATAAGCGCTAAGCTTAGAGTAACAATTAGCCTAACAACTAACTTTCTAATTGTAAAATTTTTTTTTGCGCACTACAGCTACCGTCTAAAATTACAATAGAAAATAATAAGAAAATAGTATAGGAGGGGGGTATATTATAGCTTAGGCTACGCCTGCGCCTAAAGGATAAGGCTTAGTTAGCGCGATAGAGTATATAGCCTTTAGATT